GTAAATACACTCTTTTAAAAAAAGGGTTCCAAAAGGGTTATTTGGCTGTCCTAATAGGAGAACCCTATGAAGAACCCTTTTTGTTTCCAGGTAGAACCCTTTTTAGTTCCATGTAGAACCCTATATGGGAAGGGATCTACATGGAACCCAAAATGGTTCTACCTGGATTCAAAAGGGTTCCACCTCAAACCAAAAAGGGTTCTTCAAAGGGTTCTCCTATTAGGACAGCAAAAAACCTTTTAAGGTTCTAGATAGCACCTTTTTTTCTAAGAGTGTAGTGGACAGAACACACATTGGGTTATTTATGACCAGCCAGCTGGGTCACTTACAGTGCATTCGCAAAGTATTCAGACCCCTTGACTTTTTCCACATTGTGTTACGTTACAGCCTTATTCTAAAATTGATTACATTATTTTTTCCCCTCATTAATCTACACACAATACCCCATAACGACAAAGCGAAAACAGGTTTTTAGAAATGTGTTGTTGTTTTTTTTACCCCCAGAAATAGCTTGTTTACATAAGTATTCAGACCCTTTGCTATGAGACTCGAAATTGAGCTCAGGTGCATCCTGTTTCCATTGATCATCCTTGAGATGTTTCTACAACTTGGTTGGAGTCCACCTGTGGTAAATTCAATTGATTGGACATGATTTGGAAAGGCACACACCGTTCTATATAATGTCCCACAGTTGACAGTGCATGTCAGAGCAAAAACCAAGCCCTGAGGTCAAAGGAATTGTCCGTAGAGCTCCGAGACAGGATTGTGTCGAGGTACAGATCTGGAGAAAGGTACCAAAAAATTTCTGCAGCATTGAAGGTCCCCAAGAACACAGTGGCCTCCAACATTCAAACTGAGCAATCGGGGGAGAAGGGTCTTGGTCAGGGAGGTGACCAAGAACCCGATGGGCACTCTGACAGAGCTGCAGAGTTCCTCTGTGGAGATGGGAGAACCTTCCAGAAGGACAACCATCTCTGCAGCACTCCACCAATCAGGCCTTTATGGTAGAGTGGCCAGACAGAAGCCACTCCTCAGTAAAAGGCACATGACAGCCCACTTGGAGTTTGCCAAAGGCACCTAAAGGACTCTCAGACCATGAGAAACAATATTCTCTGGTCTGATGAAACCAAGATTGTACTCTTTGGCCTGAATACCAAGTGTCACATCTGGAGGAAACCTGGCACCATCCCTACGGTGAAGCATGGTGGTGGCAGCATCATGCTGTGGGGATGTTTTTCAGCGGCAGGGACTGGGAGACTAGTCAGGATCGAGGGAAAGATGAACGGAGCAAAGTACAGAGAGATCCAAGATGAAAACCTGCTCCAGAGCGCTCAGGACCTCAGACTGGGGCGAAGGTTCACCTTCCAACAGGACAACAACCCTAAGCACACAGCCAAGACATCGGAGGAGTGGATTCGGGACAAGTCTCTGAATGTCCTTGAGTGGCCCATACAGAGCCCGGACTTGAACCCGATCGAACATCTCTGGAGAGACCTGAAAATAGCTGTGCAGCGACACTCCCCATCCAACCTGACAGAGCTTGAGAGGATCTGCAGAAAAGAATGGGAGAAACTCCCCATATACAGGTGTGCCAGCTTGTAGTGTCATACCCAAGAAGACTCAAGGCTGTAATCGCTGCCAAAGGTGCTCCAACAAAGTGCTGAGTAAAGGGTCTGAATACTTATGTAAATGTGATATTGAAGTTTTTTTTATTTTTAATACATTTGCAAAAATGTCTAAAAACATGTTTTTTGCTTTGTCATTATGGGGGTATTGTGTGTAGATTGATGAGGGAAAAAAACAATTGAATCCATTTTAGAATAAGGCTGTAACGTAGCAAAATGTTGAAAAAGTCAAGGGGTCTGAATACTTTCCTGAATGCACTGTAGTTGGGTTTTTGAGCTATGTTCCACCGGGTCAGATCAGAAGACTGGAGGCGTGACTTAGTAGGGGCGTGGCTTTTGGATTCTTATTTTTGGCCACCCGTGAGAGTAAATACCATTCCGGTTAATCTGTTCTGTTGTATTGTCAACACATGTTAATGTTGCGCACTGATACTGTTATGGCTTAATGAGGTGTACACAAGTTGAGTTCCTCAAGTGTCAATGTGTATCCCAATGTTGGGATAGTTACCACTTTGTTATGTTATTTAAATCAAATTAATTGTATATTGAAATATGTAATGTGCAAAAATATTGAAGATACATGTTAATTTTCGGTTAACAAACATGACTCTCACAGATGGCCAAAAATACCTATCTGAAAGCCACGCACCCAATAGGCCACACCTCCTGAAAATAACCTATGGATTACATTAAAAAATACTAATCTGCTGGGATTCAGTTGAAAGTGAATAAAATCCTAATTGATGGTTAAATTAACCCATGTTTAGGTAATCCAAAGGGCTGGCCTATTGGGGCTGTGGCTTTCAGATAGTTATTTTTGGCCACCCGTGAGAGTAAATGTAATTCATGTTCATCATGTTAAGTTTGTACACTGCAAATTTCAATTTTTCTCTGTATTTTAATATAAAATGTATAACATTATTATTTAAATATTATACCAAAGTGGGAACTATCCCAACATTGGGATATGCATAGACACTTAAAGGAAAAGTCTACCCAAAACTATATTTTGGTATTTGTTTCATTACCCCATTGCTGATATAGTCCTAAAATGTTTAGCTTGTCACCAATCAAGTTAGCAAAATACAGAAATCATCCCTGTATGATGCAGTTCACATCATATGATGCTGCGGTTTGCATCATATGATTCAAAATGCATCATACAGAGATGATTTCTATATTCTGAAAGTTACATACAGTACATACAACTTACATACATTTTGCAACTATGTAATAATGAAACAAATACCATAAGATCATTTTTGGGTGGAATTTTCATTTAAGGTACTCATAATCTTGTGTCTGTGTCAGTGCACAACCTTAACATGTGTAGACAATACAACAGAACAGATTAACCGGAATGACATTTACTCTCACAGGTGGCCAAAAATAACTATCTGAAGCCACACCCCTACTAGGCCAAACCTCCAGTCTTCTACTCTGACCCAGTGGATCATAGATCAATAACCCAGCATCAACAACACAACTTTTAAAAAACAAATGGTTGTTTGTGAACAAACTGTCTAGGTGAAAATAACCCAACGGTTGTTTTTAACCCAGCAATTTTTTTTTTTGTGTAGATATCTTTCACTTGACAGATGACTGTAGAAACAGAGAGAGGGACATATGTGATACATAGGGGGTATTCTGAATGTACCCCCATTATGTTCCTTTAAACAGAGAAACCCTAGGAGGACACACATTTCCCACGGTGTGAGTCATACTCTAGATTCCTCTCAGCACCTTCATTAGTAGTTATCCACAGGCTAGCCACTTTCTCCTGTTTCCCACAAGTCACAGCACACTTTGAAAAGACACAAGGCCCTTAGCCCCCTGGAGGGAAGCCTTTGGGCACCAGAGGCAAGAGAAACTTCCCCTTCTCAAAATGACCCCTTTGTTTTAGAGGCTTAATCATCCCTTAAAGCCCTCATCACACCAAAATGTGCTCATCCAACGAAGCCCCAGCAGCCTCAGCGCTCAGAGACTAAGCTGACACGTTTATGACCCAATAGCCTAGAGTCATGGGTGTACTGATGCTATTGTCCTGTCACTCTCAATTACAGATGATAACATCACAGAGAGTACTAATACACTGTACGGAAGCACAAATGTTTGGAAAGGAGCTTGAAGTCATAATTATATCAATGTTTGGAAAAGAGCTTGAAGTGACATCAAGTTGGAAAGACTGACAATCAAAGCTTTTTTACCAGTAGATGAGGTACTGTATGTACGGTATGTCTGAAGTAATCAGCTTAACATTAAAGTACATAATTTAGATAACAAGTTAAGAGAAGGATGTGTTTCACTGAAAACACAATCAGTTGATTATGTGTTGTGCTAGTTATACAGCCATGCAGTGCATCTTATATGTGGCCAGTGCCAGTCACCCCAGGCCAGAGTCATGCAAACTGTGCATATCTAAAATGCGTGTGATGTCACTGATAGGGCTGCAGTGACATATACAGCAGGAGCCTCCAAGGCTATGGCCCTCTGTCACTTTCTGTGGCCAGCTAGGCAGACGTTCAGTTCCCACTGAATCAGACTAGCGCGAACGAGGTCAAGCCCTGCCCCTGTACCAGTAACCTTATCTGACCCATGAAGTCATCCCTTCAACACTACCTGATTCTCTCACACCACTGAAACTTCACTGAAGTGAGAAGGGAGTGATGAGGAAGATTCTCATCTAAATGGTATTATTCTCTAACGACTTGGTTTAAAGCCAATTAACATCCAATAACTCCATTATAGCCCCATGAGATAAGAGTCAATGTGTAAGACAGATACACAATAAAAGTGGCCAGAATGACAGAGACTTATAGTGGGTGGGCTAAACATCCCTGAGGACATAATACACTGTGTCATTATAGAAAACACCAGGATTATTAAAAGTATATTCATATATTCCAAGATGCCTACGCTATGTGTCATTCCATAATTGGCACAATAAAAATAAACAAAATGTGTGCCAAAGGACTTTCATAATAATAAAAAAACCACATTATGTCATAGATACCCATGTTGGAATTATATCCGGCAGAGGACATAATGTAAAACGTGTAATAGCAACTTCACCCCAGTGGTATTACTACTGAACAGACAAGAGGTGGGATGCTGCCCTGCCCCTGTCCCTGCTGACACTGTGGTCAATGACACGTCAAGCCACACATGCTCATGTTACATATATGCACTTCACACACAAAACAAATATATGTTTTATTGTCACATACACTGGTCAGGTGCAGTGATATGTGTTGTTTTACTAGTGCTGTGAGTTATGGAGGATATGCATGGAATCCGTTGAAATGGGAATAACCAGGGAGACTCAGCAGCGCCTATTAAAAGTATTTAAGTTTAGAGGGGAAAAGTCATACTCACAAGACCAGTGCACAGACTGAAGACTGCGGTGGATTCAATCTTGGCGTTGACGTGTCCGCGGAAAAAGCAGTGCCGCATATCGCTGGCTTCTTGTTGTTGGGACTCTGTTGAGTTGCTGTGCTCCGCTCCCAAATGTGTCACAGTGTACGTGGGGGCAATAAAACCGGAGTCGGCGGTTAGATTGAGATGAAAGCGTTGTCCGAACGCCTCAATTCTGTAGTGAGCATGTAAACCATCCAAAGAATCCGAATTCACACTTCTCCGTTTCCTTTTGTAGTGAAACTTGTGGGTGAATGATTCTCCGAAATCATTTATCCGCAGCGGGGTGATAATTTCATAGGATGACAACTGTTTGATGAAACTTTCTAAAATGCAAGGAAACGTGCATTAGTGAGATTCATTCAGAGAGATTGTAACGGTAAAAGATATAGCCAATAAAGACGCGTCAATGTAACCGTTTTTGACATGCAACTATTTTGTATCACTTAGCCTACAATGTACTCTACTGGCATCTTTCTTCAGCGCCATTAGGCTACTAAACAGTTTAAACATATACTTTCAGATATCGCATTTTATGGATGCTACCATCCATAAATCAACGAGATAAATAGCCTACCTTGTTTCGGATGCAATCGGTATTCCAAGGAGTTCCGGACAAGTGCTGACAGATGACACATTAGTCCAACCAGCCAGATTGCAAACTGCATGATTTCCCCAGTGAACAAACCACGGGCTCTCGTCTCCAAGGCAGTAGGCTACCTTTCTCAAGCGGTTCTCACCTCTCCTTCACCGGCTTGTCAGCAACAGGTCGTGGGATCTGCGGAGGCTCTCTGCAGTCTTGCAAAGTGCACTGGCCTCATCGCATGGCTAAATATGCATCCACAATGCTCTGTAAACACGCACTATTTACGATACATAACAGAGTATTTGCTGCCTAATGTAAGCTACGTCTATATGGAAAGGAGGGATCAGTGCCAAATAAGCTTTTCCTTAGCCATCCATAGAACACCCTTGCACCATAAGCGCTCGCCAACATAGGAACACAAGCAACGCCCCTAGGCGGGAGAGCCAATGGTGAGTGCGCCTCGACCAACACACAATTTGGGCCGTCTGTACTCTGTGTGAAGAAGAACTGTTAAAGAAAACTGTCTCCGATCAACAAGTTATCAAGCATTATACCCGCAGTCTTTAGTTATACAGTATAAGTAAAGTGTTACCAAGTGTTTTGCTGGGCTATTATAGAGCCAACTACACACCTTTTTGCAGAATTTGATAGAAAACCTATTTTCCTATGTATGAGTATTATGTATTATAGCCCACATAAAAGTTTGCAGAATGAATAACGTTTCCTCATTAAACCCAAGGATCAGGAGCAATAATAAAATCAAAATAAGGATTTACCCTGTAACATGTGTTTAGAGTAAACTGTAGACTTACTTCATTGAGACAGTGGTCAGTCCAGTTCTTCATTAGTCATTGTGGCACATAATGTCTAGAGCACACTTGATGGACATATGAAAGACCTTATTTTTTTCATCTGCTTTGGCCAGAAATGTCACCTCATTGTCGGTGATTAGATTCGGTGGGCTCACCGGAAGAGCTTTTGGATGTGGTGAGGTCTTTGGCTCTGACTTTCAATCTAAAGAAAAACATTCAAGAAGACATTGACGTTATGGCTATTGTCTATTCATTCAAAGATTATCTCTGCAGTTGCAATTCTTGTTTTATGCTATCTACTGCCACTCAAAAGTTGCCCTTAAAGTCACTAAGTGAGGCCTACAACAGGATCCACAAGATGAGGCAATAAAATTATGAAATTCACTGACTTCACTCTTATAGGCCTATCATGGTGACAACAAGAGATCATTCATCCATTCTGATGAAGTGAAGCCAATTCAACTGAGCACTTGGATGGCACAGTGTCTGTCCAAGCACCACAGTGTCTGTCCAAGCACCACAGTGTCTGTCCAAGCACCACAGTGTCTGTCCATGCACCACAGTGTCTGTCCAAGCACCACAGTGTCTGTCCAAGCACCACAGTGTCTGTCCAAGCACCACAGTGTCTGTCCAAGCACCACAGTGTCTGTCCAAGCACCACAGTGTCTGTCCAAGCACCACAGTGTCTGTCCAAGCACCACAGTGTCTGTCCAAGCACCACAGTGTCTGTCCAAGCACCTAAGCTGCGGATGAACCTCAGGTCCTCCTGAGATGTGGTGATTGTTCAGATTAAGTACATCTTTTAACTGTAGCTCCTCAGTCTGATGCTTCCCTGATGTGTTATTCATTCATTTCCAAGCCTCCCGTGAAGCCATTGAGTCCTAAACCACTCTCAGAGCTCTTTCATGAGCAAGACCATACTGTGAATGTGGAAGTAGAATTGAATTTGACAAACAGCAACCAGTTACAGTCCAACTGCAATCCCATTTGATATCCACTTCTCTGTAGTATAGCTCTATAATTGTGATGAACCTACCTCTTCAGCTTTCCCCTACAGAGACACTATTTTACAGTGAACTTTATGGACAGTCTGATTTATTCCGGTGCTTTACAATAATGGTACATGAGCACACAAAGGTCAAACTCCCTGAAACCAAGAGAACAGTATGAAACCACAAAGAAGAAACAAAGAAGAAACCACAAACCACATTTCTTTAAGGTATAGAGACATATCCTCCGCTGGCTTGCCAAACAGGTGCCATGCCCCCCTTGGGCCATCACTTTATTAACCCTAGTACTCACCCCCTCACTCCCAACCTGCCCCACCCCCTAACAAACATCACTTCCATCACCTACAGCACCCAGTGACTACTCCTTAAATGAGCCAAGTGCCTGCATGGGGTTGTCTGTATAACAACCCACCTTCTAATTAAGCCTCCACACATGCAATGGTTCATTAATGTAAAGTCCAGCAGGCTTATTATTATGTGACTTAGTTAATCCCTCACCAGATGGGCTGAGAGTCAGGCATTCTGTAACATATTCATAACCCCTCCCCTTACTGCATCTGAGCTCCTTGTTTTCTTACCTAAAATTATCCTAACCCCTAACCCAAACCTTAACCAATTGTGATTGCTTGCCTAAACATAACAAATCTCGTGAATTTCTGCCCTCAAGGGCAGAATAAGGAAAACTCCTATCTGCCTCCTCTCATGATGGACATACATCAGATACCTCATCTAACCTAAGGACTCTGGGACTAAACACCTCCCACTGCAACTGGATCCAGGACTTCGCGACGGGCCACCCTCAGGTGGTAAGGGTGGGCAACAACACATCTGCCACGCTGATCCTCAACACTGGGGTCCCTCAGGGGTGCGTGCTTAGTCCCCTCCTGTACTCGCTGTTCACCCACGACTGCGTGGCCAAGCACGACTCCAACACCATCATTGATTTGCTGACGACACAACAGTGGTAGGCCTGATCACCGACAACGATGAGACAGCCTATAGGGAGGAGGTCAGAGACCTGGCAGTGTGGTGCCAGGACAACAACCTCTCCCTCAATGTGAGCAAGACAAAGGAGATGATCGTGGACTACAGGAAAAGGAGGGCCGAACAGGCCCCCGTTAACTTCGACGGGGCTGTAGTGGAGCGGGTCGAGAGTTTCAAGTTCCTTGGTGTCCACATCACCAACAAACTATCATGGTCCAAACACACCAAGACAGTCATGAAGAGGGCACGACAACACCTTTTCCCCCTCAGGAGACTGAAAATATTTGGCATGGGTCCCCAGATCCTCAAAACGTTCTACAGCTGCACCATCGAGAGCATCCTGACCGGTTGCATCACCGCCTGGTATGGCAACAGCTCAGCATCCGACCATAAGGCGCCCAATACAACACTGGGGTCAAGCTTCCTGCCACCAGGACCTACATATTAGCGGTGTCAGAGGAAGGCCCAAAAAATTGTCAAAGACTCCAGTCACCCAAGTCATAGACTGTTCTCTCTACTACCGCACCGCAAGCGGTACCGGAGCGCCAAGTCTAGGTCCAAAAGGCTCCTTAACACCTTCTACCCCCAAGCCATAAGACTGCTGAACAATTGATAAAATGGCCACCTAGACTATTTACATTGATCCTGCTACTCGCTGTTTATTATCTATACATAGTCACTTTACCCCTGCCTACACGTACAAATTAGCTCGACTAACCTGTCCCCCAGCACATTGACTCGGTACCGGTACCCCCATGTATATAGCCTCGTTATTGTTATGTAATCTTATTGTGTTACTTTTTATTTTATTGTGTTACTTTAGTTTATTTAGCAAATATTTTCTTAACTCTATTTCTTGAACTACGTGGTTGGTTAAGGGCTTGTAAGTAAGCATTTCACGGTAAGGTCTACACTTGTATTCGGCGCATGTGACAAATAACATTTGATTTGATTTGATCATCGGACCATTTGAAGGACTCTTGGAATTGTGGGATTTGGAGGCTAAACACCTGATCTTGCAGTTGCTCACATAGTTTAATGTAAAGCAGTGGAGGCTGCTGAGGGGAGGACGGTTCATAATAATGTCTGGAATGGAGCTAATGGAATGGCATCAAACACATGGAAACCATGTGTTTGATGTATTTGATACCATTACATTTACTCCGCTCCTGCCATTACCACGAGCCCATCCTCCCCAATTAAGGCGACCAACCTCAAGGCACAAACAGCACTGAAATTTGCTCACTGTGTGGCCAATGGCCCTAGTTGAGTTCCTGCCTCTCCAGACTTGGACAGAACAGAACGCATGTAGGCAGGAGGAAGGAGAGAAAGAAAAGTCATGCCCTTGGCAGCCATTAATTGTCTCCACATATCAGATAACAATGACATTAACAAAGTGCCGTTTAGTGCCTATGAGTTCCACATGTTGGCTTGACCCAGTGAGGTCAGGAAAGGGGGTTAGGGGAACAGATTGGGCGTGGGGTGCATGTGCTTTGAAGGGGTTACTGGATGCAATGCAGTAGCAGTGAGTGTGTAGAGGGAATTAAAGCCATGAGGATGTGACTCATGGATTGTTCCCTTAGGATGCATGTAGTCCATTGTGGTTTGACGTAACACATCAATGAACCGTCATGGAAGTCTGACCAGTGGAATACATCATTGCTGCTGACTACTGCAGATACAGTGCCTTGCAAAAGTATTCATCCCCCTTGGTGTTTTTCCTATTTTGTTGCATTACAACCTGTAATTTAAATGGATTTTTATTTGGATTTCATGTAATGGACATACACAAAATAGTCCAAATTGGTGAAGTGAAATGAAAAAAATAACTTGTTTCAAAAAATTCTAAAAAATAAATAACTGAAAAGTGGTGTGTGCATATGTATTCACCCCCTTTGCTATGAAGCCCCTAAATAAGATCTGGTGCAACCAATTACCTTCAGAAGTCACATGATTAGTTAAATAAAGACCACCTGTGTGCAATCTAAGTGTCACATGATCTCAGTATATATACACCTGTTCTGAAAGGCCCCAGAGTCTGCAAATCCACTAAGCAAGGGGCACCACCAAGCAAGCAGCACCATGAAGACCAAGGAGCTCTCCAAACAGGTCAGGGACAAAGTTGTGGAGAAGTACAGATCAGGGTTGGGTTATAAAAAAAATATCAGAAACTTTGAACATCCCACGGAGCACCATTAAATCCATTATTAAAAATGAAATGGACAAACAAACTGCCAGAGAGCCCACAAACCACAACCAGGTAAGAGAGCATAATC